ACTGACCCTTACTCTGACCCTTACACGGACCCTTACACTGACCCTTACACGGACCCTAACTGTATATCAGTAGAAAGACAAATGTCTGTTTACAGCAGCATCCGTCGCCTCAGAGTGTAAGAGTGTGTGTCTTTGCACTACGCTACATTATTCATCAGCATTAATCCCAGTACTGTGCTTTGCTGTGATAAATGACTTAAGGCTGTGAAACACTCAGGGTCACACATCGATTAGTTTATTAGAGCCAGCTCGGCTTGGATAGCTTTCCCCTTTAAAACAAGACAGTGTTTATATTTACTTATTAAAGTTCAATAAGATCACTTGGAAGAACTGAACACGATTCACTGAGATAGAGAAATGAATGATTAGACTCTGATCACGATCATGGCAGGTGGGATGTAGGACAGGACGCAGTGGTAGTGAAGATGAAGGATGAGGCTGACGAGGAGGAGGAGGGCTGTCTGAATGGCAGAATGACAGAGAGCACAGATTTAAAGCATGCAAAGCGGAGGCTGATTGGCTCAAAGAATGCGGACGAGAAGATGATTGGACTAGAGCAAGAGTATTGAGCGTGGGTAGTGATGCAAAGAGCAGGAGAAGCAGAAGGAAGCAGGTAGATGAGTGTTTCCAGGTGCTCCTCAGTGATGCCGAAGGCTACACATTTGGTTTGATGATCTGAAACATGTGATGCGTGTTTAAAGAAAATGAGGAAGCATTAAAGTGCTTTTACTTACAGTCAGTGTTCAACGTGTTACAGCTTCAGCCATCTTCACATGTGCAGATTTGTGCGTCCACTACAGCGCCACTGTGAATCGTAGAGTTCACTGACCGTGCATAAATCCACCCAGCATGACTGTGATGTCTGTCACCTTTCAGAACCCCACTCTCAGGCCCAGGAAGACGGTCAGCTCTGCGCATCTGAGTGTGGACGGAGTGCAGCGCTGCTGTCACACGTCAAAGATGAACAAAGAAACGCTCAAAGTCACTGCTCGCACCAGGTAAGCAACTCCGAGGAAGGAAACTGCAGGAGCGTTGAGCCGCTGAGGTTAAATCCTCCACCTGCCCAAACCGCCGCGCTGCCTCCGCTCACATCCCCAGAGGTGAAGACGGAGACGGACAGGGAGGACGGCAGGAAACAGCAGCGTCGTAACAGCCTGCCAGCGGCCGCTAACGCAGCTCAGAGTGATTCTCGTGCCACCGCTGCAAAGACACACAGGACCGTGAGAAACGAGCAGCAGGTGAAGGGGCTGCTGCGCTCAAACGGAAAGCAAAGCGCTCACATACTGCAGATTAAAAACGTAAAGTCCCTGAAGGCATCGTCATCGCGCCCCCATCATCCGAGCCAGAGCATCCAGAGGTGGCACAGCTGCAACGAGTGCGGGAAGGGCTTCAACTTTGCCTGCCAGCTGGAGGTCCACATGCGCTGGCACACCAAAGAGAAGCCATACAGCTGCGCGGTGTGCCGGAAGAGCTTCACCACCGTAAGCATGCTGAAGAGGCACCACCGCATCCACACCGGAGAGAAGCCCTTCCGCTGCCACGTCTGCGGGAAATGCTTCAACCAGTCGGCTCATCTTAACACCCACTTCAGGCTCCACACCAGAGAGAGGGCGGGCTGGAGCCGAGCGCCACACTGCAAGCTGTCCCAGTAGGAAGCCGCTTCATGTGTAAACACCAAAAACTGTTCTTCTAGTGGTGTCCAGTGGTGCTGTGTGCTTGT